AGATGATAGGCTCTAGATATGCCGAATTCGACCGTTCCAGGTGATAAACTAGGCTGCGATTTACCACGATGTTTGCCGGCGGTTATCAGGACTATGGAACCATAAAGACATTTACCACTGCGGTCCCTGGAGAACCTTTCGGTTCCTGCTTTTTGCCATAAGGTAGCCCACTGCAAGTCGTTGATGGGATCAGTCCGTATTTTCTGCTTGCACTTATATTGCTTTTCATCAGTATCCTTTTTAAACCATTCACAACCAGGTAGAAGTATTTTAACGGCTGTTCGTCGGATGGCGCGAAGGCTGAACCTACCTTTATCCGGTTTGGCCGTTGAGTTGGACAAACTCAGATACATTTTTCTGTCTCTTTCGAAGGATCCACGGACCGTAATGAAATCCTCCCGTCGTTGCTGCGTGCGACAGAAGGCCGGTGGGATGTACTTCCACCTTGGGTTGAAAGCAGGTTTGCTGCAACAGCTCCGTGAGATTCAGACTAGGGTTGCAAATATCGAAATTCAAATGAACGTTGACGGTATTCGGGCCCATAACAACTCGCGGACTCAAGTGTGGCCTATACTCTCCCCCATAATTTCACCCTTTCTTGGTCAGCCTTTCGTCGTTGAAATATACTGTGGTAAGCAAAAACTTAATGACGCTCATCAGCTAATGTCTGACACGGTCGCTGAGTTGACAGACGTCCGGCGAACGGTGACTCTGGGGTTAACAATACTCACACCATCCGTCTTCAGTGCATTATTTGTGATAGTCCTGCCAGGGCCTTTCTGAAGCAAGCGAAGGGACATATAGGATGTTATGGCTGTGATTACTGTACACAAAAGAATGTGCACATTGGCACATGTATGACTTTTCCCTCGTTGACAGCTCTCTTGCGTCGTGACTATGATTTCCGGACCAGAAAGCAAGAGAAGCACCATATAGGTCCAAGTCCGATTGAGGAGTTAAATTTTCCCATGCTTGGCGGTTTCCTACCAGGTTACATGCATAGTGTTTGTCTTGTTTTAGTGCGGAAGTTTATCATCATACTCAGAGCCATGCCAATTAAACACAAGACCAGGCTCTCTTTGGAGTCCTGGAATCTGCTGAATGATAACATTGAGCAACAGAGTTTGGCTCTAAGTGTTGATTCCCCCGAAAATCTTGAGGCGTCGTAGACCTGGATCGGTGGGAGACATCTGAGCCACGATAGTTTCTTCCGTACATAGGACTCGTTGTTTTACGAGATAACTTACATCCTGACGTTCACGAATGCCCTAAGTATTTTTCGGTAACCACTTTCATGGGCTGTTCACCTTTTTTCACAATAATATGCTGGTTTGTTTATTGGCGTTTCTAAGGTTTCTGTGTCAAAATTTGTTGCTGTTTTGGTCTCAGTCATTTAGTCTACAATAAACACCTCTTCTCCCATTTACTCAATTTCGTCAAGCTTTATGGTTGGTTGGATCGTTTTTCCTGTTTTCCCTATGAATCAGAGCTGGGGCATTCGAAGCATTACATACATAGGCCAAACCCACCAGCTGTCCAGCTTTACCGTCGACTTACCGAGTGTGGGATTACGTGCTGTCCAAAGGAAGATATTTTGGATGATGTTGGCTTGCGACTGAGGCAGTCGGCCACTGCCGGATGTCGCAGGTTTGTTCATAGGGATGTTGTTTTTTTGAAAAACCTTCCTGACAACTGCATTTTGCTTGATGGTCAGCCAGCCGTCATTGTAGATTTTTCTGGAGATACTATTGAGTACCAGACATTTAAAACTGTTCTCCCATTTTACACTCACGTATTGATACCAACAGACGTTTTAGTTTTTCAATGTTCCCACTTGCAACACACTCGACTGTTTGCATCAGTCGATAAAATATCTTGTAAATGCTTAAGTTTTTCCTGCAGAGACACTCGTATATACTCCCCCATTTCGCATACCCTTATCGATTGGTTAGTACTCTTACAAATGGCGCTCGGCGAATGTATTCATTTATTACTTGTATTACTCATTACCTCGTAAAATATATATACATATTTATGTTAGTGTTGTGTTATTCCATCAAAACTCCCGTTTGCTTGTGGATATTCTCCAGTTAAATGTCGTATTTGGAAGTTGTTTTTCGGCAATGTACGCTGTTCTCATATTTGCGGACAGATCTGTTGGCATGGTGCATGAATCGTGGTTCGTACCACCCGATTCAGTCCTTTGGCCCTCGTGCACCACCAGCACTCTTTATGCCAAATTACTGAGGGGTACTCTACCAAGATGTCCACTCAAGTCGTGCACGTACGAAGTGTATCGGCAGTGCAGTAAGTTCATTTTCAATCAATCGTATTACGATGGTTGCAGTACAAAGAAACGGCTGCCGTCTGATTTTACAGACGGGTCGGATCGTGATTCCAGTGGTGGCACCTATTTTGCGTATATAGTCATAGGCCCACCAACTCCAGAAAGACTGCAGGTCCTCCCGCACCTACCAACTTTTCAATTTGTAAAATCCTCATTTTCAGATGTACTAATCCGACTGCCACGATTAGTAGTATAATTCCTGTTCAAGACGCGCTACCCGTCCCTCGTGATGCCCGGATGATATGTGGAACGTACGTTTTATTTCCTTACCACCATCTAGAATCTATCAGCGGTTCCACGTATACAACACTTCCCGCCGTGGGCGATCCAGAACCACCCAGTTCTACCCCGATCCTCAGGTTTTCTTAACATTCCATGTAATTTACTTTCTAGAACTGACTCTCCAAATTCCAAGGCTAGCGTAATTTCCCCTGACCTGGCGAACCTCGTTCTCAGTGAGTAGGCTACATGTTTTAATTAAACTATTTTATAGGGAATTTAGAAAGGATTTACTCGTCGCTCCAAAGACTGCACATGAATCTGGACGCTTTAGTACCCACCAGCAGTTCTCAGGCACTCAACGAGCTCCTCTTCCCCTTTCATCCGTGGATGATATCCGAAAGTATGGAGAACATCTAAGAGATGGTCAACGCTATGCACAGCTGGTAAGTATTAGTTGTAGTCACGATTGCTGATTTCACAAAGGTGGAAAGGTGGCTCTTGCGGGAGGCTGGCGATGTACAAATGTACGTGACCAACGTGCTTACGTGGACGTTTGCACCAAGGCTAGCCGTACTACTCAACTGGCGCGGGTCAACCAGGCTGGCCCAAGGACTTATTTGTAAGTTGTTAGTTGTTAATTTATATTTAGCTAGTTGAATCAGTGTCTGGATGGAACTCAATAACTATGTTCTTCATTACAGACGCGACAACTGAGAAATTTCCGAACACAAATCCGCGACAAATAAAGGATATCTTTCATCGCTGGCTTGAGAACAAACGGCAGAAAGTTCGGAAACGCCTGCAGAGAGCCAACAAGAGTGACAAATGATCTTCCCCCTGTATTTTTAAAAAATCTATTCATTAAAACATTTGTACTTGAAGGCGCTTATTGATATCCGGAAAGGTAATACGTTGAGCAATTATGTGGGGGCAGATGGGTTATCACTTAGTGTTTAGGATGTTACTGAATCGTACTAGGGAAAGAGACAAGTCTGTATAATGGGCTATATTTGTGCGTCGGACGACTTTAGCTAAGTGCGGACTGGGTGAGTACAGGACCTGGATGCGGAAACGTCTGCACTATTTCCGCATCCGGGCGCAGAAGTGTGCAGATATTGTGCGGAAATTTCCGCACCCGGGTGCGGACTGGGTGCGAAAATTTGTTTCGTTTCTGCACTGGTTCCGCACCCGGGTGTAGAATTCTGCGGAAACTGTGCGGAAATGTCCGCACCTGGGTGCGGACATTCTGCAGAAATTTCTGCACCGGTGCTAACTGTTGGCCAACAACCACTGCTTTGCATCGTCTACATCCATTTGGGGCGCGCTGGCATTTTAGCCCCAGGATTGCAAGTCATTTGCGGAAGTAGACATAGGTCCGAAAAGACGGTCGGAACGTCGTTATCGTATATCAGAAACACCAGTGTTCTCAAAAGAGAACCTTGGGGGACTCCAATGGAGACTGGTGCCGAAGAAGAGTGAATAGAGTCTACTCTCACTCTGGTGGTTCTCTCTGATATGAACGCCTTAACTAAGCGACTATCCGTTTGAGATTCGAGCGTCGAATTCGTTTGTCACCGTCAGAGTTTATGCAACTCCTGAGAAACATACAGCATTCCAAAACTTTCAGCGAATTCTCAGTCGCATGTTAAAAATTACTTCCCGCAGCATATCTACATCTTGCGGGCGCGATGGCCTGGATGACCTTGACTATTTTTTCAATATAGCTTGCTCTTCCTACTCTTTTTCAAAGCTTATATGGCCAGCATATAAAAAGCCCACAAGGTGCTCGTTCGTTGGGATCTAAACATCATAGTCTTGGAGACTTTACAGTTTTCGCTTCAACACGTCATCAGTGATGAATTTTAATTAAAAAAAATGGGGAGAGCACCCATCATTTTCGGGCACGGCGGCATACAGAAAAGCCTTTGGACAGCTCCCCCTATGATCTCACGCACCAACATACGTAAGTGTAAACGTTGCACGATATTCGCAGACGTTTGGGGCACATTCTGTTGTGCGATTCGTACGCAAATCATGTTGAAAAGAGTTATTCGGTCGACAACTCAAGGGACCCAGGGAATTTTGGATACCCGTGTGCATGCCATTGCTTTAACACTTGACGTATTGTGCGGATGTTCGCGCATCCTCCTGTCGACCTGAATCTTGCTGATTTGGGTCCCTACTCCACGCTCCTACCTGAAAGAGCGTAGGATAAGCGATATAAACACCGGTTGCAACGTTGTGTAGCTTATTACTTTGAATTTCACACTCAGTAATAGCACCATTTTGGAAACCCGCACTTCCGTTGAATCACTGGAATCGACTGGAACGGTCTGTTAATAACTTTAGACAGCTGAGTGTTGTGAAACGCTGAACTCGAGTCCACGAGGCTGACGCGACATTCGTCCCAAGAAGACCGGCACGCAGTCGGATGAACCGCAAGCTGCCAAAAAGGATTCGGCGACTTCTGGAAAAAAGATCCCAACTCTTTTTCAAAAAGTTGACCACAGGGGACACAGAAGATGAGCTGGCATTTCGTAAAATGCGGAATCGTTGTAAGTCA